TGTTATTTTTTTTTTTACGAAGGATTAATTCCGATTTATTCTTGTTTATTTTCTTCTCCCTCAGTGAATGTTAAGCACTCGCGTTCTTTATTAGATCGATTGCTGGATTAAGTAGACGAACGATATTAACTAGCTTACGTCATGTCGACTGACCACACCACTCCGACTGGGCGCCAGCTTCCAATACCCGCACAACGCCTATTCCCATATAGCGAGGATAAACCATGTGTACGCAAGTGGGACGTACGGGAAACTGTTGCAAAGATCAAAGAACTTTATTATATGCCTCTGGAAACAAGGTGTCCAGGGTTCGTGGGTGGTGGGTTTGTGATTGTCGATACTCATTTTGCGCCCTATTCCTTGTTATTGCCCTGGAATAAGTTGATTGTCATCCTGTGGACAGCAGTGGCACCCCATTTGCCCAATACTCTTTGAAGCAATTGTCGATGCATTGAGCACTATCAGGAAAGGAGGTTCCACTACCGGACGTGTGGCGAAGACGATTTAAGGAAAGAGCGACCAGACTATGGCCCTCCACACCAGATTCTGAGCTTTGCAATGAGCGACTACGAAATTGAATTTGAAAACGAGATCCCACGTGTGTTTCCCGCCTTCCTGTTCGAAAAGACGTTGAGTAGCCCGCATGGAAGTGCAAAGATACTCTTTGGATTAAATAAACGTTTGAAAATTGTGCGCGCCTGTTCCCTTTCTTGCATGACGATTGTCGTTTCTCGCTAAAACTGGGACCACACGAGAGATTTTAGTTTTGTTTGTGTCTCCACTTTCAATTTCTCTAAATTCCTTGACACATCTCATCTGGCTGATTCTTTCAAGGCCTTTTCGCATTTTAGTCACTCCGATCGGAAGAGAGCACAGGGCGTGAGGTTGAACGTCACAAGCTAGACCCAATGGATAATTTCAGTTTTTTTTTTTTTTTTTTTTTTTTTGCCAATAATAGCCCTTTGTGAAAACCCTTTATCCGTTTTTCGGGACATCCGTTAAAATTGGAACGATATAGAGAAGATTAGCATGACTCCTGCGCAAGGATGACACACATAAATCGAGAAGTGGTCCAAGACCCTCTATCCCAACGGTGGTAAGAGAACCGTCAGGATTGAGGGTTTCCCTGTCGGGCTGCTCCATCTATTGGTGGGGAGCGGCACCTGCTGGAAACCGGGTCCAGCGTCCCATTGATATATTATATAACACAGAGATTGTTGTTTATTATTTTCCTGGGGCTTTGGGTTTTTCTCTTCTCAGACCCGGGCCCTAGAGTGAGTCAAATAATAAGTAGGTAAGAGTGTGCCTCTTCTTTTGTGCTTCATTGAGTGTTGCCTTGACATACTGAGATTTAGGCAGTTGCCAATACTTATGGGAAACTTTTTCCAACCCTGGAAGAGGATTTGGGCTCATAGGTGCTGATTGAATTATCTCCTTCAGGGTTGGAGCCCCTGCCTGCGAGGGTTATACAAGGTGGGAGGTGTGATCCTTGAGAGGGTAGGGGCGATATTGTGGGTTTTGTTCTCCTGTGGGCCAGACTGATCTAGGTCGGATCAGATACGACGGTTGGGAGGGAGGAAAAGGGGCCGTGCTGTTTTCAACAAGATGAGAGGTCGAAAGGTGTTTCACTTGGAGGGGGTGAGACACGAGGGAAGGGGGATCTTCAGCTCTGCGGGGGGATGCTCTACTAGGGGGTATTGCATGCTGCTGAGGGAGCAGGAGTGAATTAGGACTGTTCTGAACTGGGGCTGGGAGATGAGGGGGCGCCTTCCAGCGGAGGCAGTGAAAGGACAAAAGCTTTTTTTTTTTTCGGGGGGAGGAGTAAGCTGATCGGTTTCCTGTTAGCTCTTGTACATCCAACTGAGACGTGAATAGACGCAGGAATTCCCATGGGGAAAGAAGTAGTTCCCTCCCGTCCTTTCTCTCCCTGTGGGAATAATAGGTGTTGACTATCTTTTTAGGTTATGATTCCTGCGTGTGAATCTCTGTTTTTTTTAACCCATTTTTATTTTTGAGGTTTCAACTGGAAAAATTTTCATAATTTTGGTGCTGGTTAATGGAGATTGGGTTTGTGGTGATGGTTGGAATGAATGCGCACTGCGGCAAAAGGGCTAGCCAGTAGGGCAGAAATAGGGCACAACAGCGGTGGAGATGGTGGCTCTACCGCAATAAGTCTTGCCGTAGTAAGGTTGAGAAGGTTTTGTTTGACGTTTGCAGCCAGTCCTTGAATTCTCAATTTTCTTATTTCCTGTTTTTGCAATATGTTATTGGGAGAGGTGAGTGAGAGAAGTAGATGGTGGGATATCAAGCATCCTACTAGCTAGGGGGCTAGCTCATAGGATGGAAATAGGGCATAGCAGCAGCGGAGATGGTGGCTCTACTGCAGTAAGTCTTGTCGGAGTGAGGTAAAGAGGACTGTTGGGGGATCGGGGGTTCTGAGTCGTTTGTTCTTAGTTGAAGCCAGGTAATGGCCCTGGTATCTCAAAAAAAGGAGGGAAGGGGGGGAAGCTAGAACTGGAGGATGGAAGGCAGTAAGGGGGCTCTTAACAGAGGAAGGTTGTTGGTTAAGGTAAGTAGGTTAGAAGGACGATGTTGGGACGACACAGGCCGGTGCTGAAGCTTTTGCTCTGTGACCCAGGGGGAGCTTGAGGCCTGTGGAGTTATGCCGAGGGTGGAAGGCATAACCAGACCGTTCCACGTAGTCGGCGTCGGGGTATTAACCGTGTAACCTGCGTCAGGGGCTTGCCGCTAAGGGAAATGTCGGGGGAGGAAGGCACTTCCTGTCCGTCAGAACTAGGTTGATCAGTACTGGGGAAGGTTGTGGTGCCCTGTTACCCTAGCAGAAGGGGGTATGAGATCAAGTGAGTTCTGGTACGAGCACTGAAAACCTGGACTGACGTTCCGTCTGTTGAGGGGGGGAGTTTTGGATAGTAGGCGTATCAGTTTTGCCCCCCCCGCTGACACCCCCGCTCTCATGTTTTCCAAGCTTTTTCAGATTTTTCTGAATTTTAGCCTATCTTAAGAGGAAAGTTTTGAGAATGCTTTAGGATTCTGGGCGCTTCTTGCAACTCATTTTAGGTTTTTCTAATGCTGTTATATTCATGGATCTGCGGTTTTTCGATGCCAGAACGACGCTGCCCGGAGCTGGGGGGTCACCCTGTAACCTGTTGGAGAGATCTGTGGATGCCTTGGGCCGGGCATTCTAAGGGAAAACCAAGGTTTGCTGTCAGTACGACACTGGGCGGAGCCGGGGTGAGTTGTGTTGCCCTGTAACCTAGCAGGATGGGGCATGAGGCCTGGGAAAGTTCGGCAGGGAATAAGACAGTGTTAGAAAATTTAAGAATGTTTTGTTGGGGATTCCAGGGATTCGGAGCATTCAAAGGGCTTCTGTGGCTTGCCATTTTGACTTTAATAAGTTCTGCTTGAGTAGCCTAGCAATAGGTTAGCAGTTACCCATGTCTTTTCCTAAATTTTCTAGAATCTCTTCAAAGTTCTCAGATTGCTCCAAATGGCCCTTGTATTTCAAATCATTTGTATAATTCTATATGGGACGCTGGGCCCGGTTCCCGGCACGTGTTGCTCCTCACGAATAGACTGGAGCATTTGTCCCAAAAAGAAGAAAAAAA